ATTAACAAAAGGAAAATTTTCGGAGAGGTGCAGTGCTTCATGTATTCAATTGAATGGCAAAAAAGAGGATAACCGCATGCCCACATTCTAATATGGCTTAAAGAGAAGTTGCGGCCCAGCCAAATAGACGACATAATAAGCGCCGAGATTCCGGATCCTGAACAAGATAAAGAATTGTATGATACCATCGTCCGAAATAAGATTCACGGTCCATGTGGAGCATGAAATTCAATATCTTCATCTATGAAAGAAGGAAAATGTACAAAGAAATTCCCTAAACAGCTATTAAAAGAAACAGTGCACAATGACAATGGCTACCCTTTATACAGACGCAGAGCTCCCGAAGATGATGGCAGGAAAGTTACAATCAAATCTCGTTCTGGAGCGTTCGAAACCTTAGATAACAGCTGGATTGTCCCGTATTCGCCCATTCTATGTAAAATGTTTAATGCCCACATTAATGTAGAAGCATGTAGCTCTGTCCGCGCAATCAAGTATATCTGTAAGTATATAAATAAAGGAAGCGACCAAGCAATATTTAATCTCAGGAGTGAAGGTGAGGCAAATCCCGTTAATGAAGTACAGACCTTTCAAGCAGGGCGTTATGTCAGCAGTAACGAAGCAGCGTGGCGTCTCCTTGGCTTCCCTTTACACGAAAGGCACCCAACAGTTACTCACCTTGCTGTGCACTTAGAAAATGGAGAGCGTGTATATTTCACCGAAAGAAATTTCCAAGAAAGAATTGCATCACCGCCAAAAACTACACTAACAGCCTTCTTTGAACTTTGTCAAACCGACCCCTTTGCAAAAACGTTGTTATATTCTGAAGTCCCCCGTTATTATACTTGGAACACATCTAGGAAGGAGTGGAAACGCCGTATTCAAGGCGCGCCTGTTGCAAATTGGCCCGGTGTAAAGTCACCAGATGTCCTTGGTCGTCTGTATACCGTCCATGTAACTAATTTTGAATGTTTCTGTTTACGATTGCTGCTGCATCATGTTCGGGGTCCTACAGTATATAAAGACCTTAAAACTGTCAACGGTCAGGAATGCGCAACTTATAGAGAAGCATGTGATGCTCTGCATCTCTTAGAAAACGATAATCACTGGGATGAAACCATGGAGGAAGCTGTGCAGTGCCAGTCACCAGCCAAAATTAGGGATCTTTATGCAACTCTCATATCATCTTGCGGGCTATCTAATGCACATGAATTGTGGGACAAATATAAAGAGTACATGGCGGAAGATATTTTGCGAAGGTTACAGCAGACACACGCGAACATGTCATACAATGAACACATTTATAATAAAGCACTTGGAAAAATTGAAGATAAAGTAATGGCAATGTTAGGCAAAAAAATTAAGCGACTTTGGAATGATAAGCCCTCAGCGAACAACCGAAAATGAACTAAGTGATGAAGAGCTTTGCAGCAGCAAGTAGCCGAATTTGTACCCCGCTTGCTTCCCGAACAAAAACGAGTTTTTGACAAAGTATTAGGACAAATTGAATCTGGAAATGGTGCACTTTTCCTTTTAGATGCCCCTTGAGGAACTGGGAAGACATTTTTGTTAAATTTATTATTAGCGCAAGTACGGAAAGATAAAAACATTGCTGTGGCCGTAGCTTCCTCCGGTATGGCCGCTACGCTGCTAAGCGGGGGCCGCACTGCACATTCTGTTTTAAAACTCCCTCTAAATTTAGCCCAGGAAGAATCGCCGATCTGCAACATTAGCAAAAATAGTGCACGAGGTATAATGCTACGACAATGCAAACTATTAGTGTGGGACGAAAGTACAATGTCGCATAAAAAAGCTGTAGAAGCACTAAATCGAACGCTCCAGGATTTGCGCAGCAATATCGATGTAATGGGAGGAATGGTGGTTTTTCTGGCTGGTGACTTTCGCCAAACTTTACTTGTCATTCAAAAGGGCACACCTGCAGATGAAATTAAAGCATGCCTCAAGTCGTCTATTTTATGGAACAAGGTGACAAAATTCAGTTTAACTACGAATATGAGAGTGTGTTTTTATAAATGATATCAATGCTGGAAACTATGCTGATACACTATTAAAAATTGGCGATGGGCGGTTGGAAACGGATGCTGAGGGCTGCGATAAATTGACGAGAGATTTTTGTAATTTAGTACAGAGTCATTCCGAATTAATTGCGAGCGTTTATTCAGATTTAACGAACAACATGCATAAAGACAAATGGTTATGTGAGGTAGTTATGGTCCGTCCAAGATGTGTGCATCTTAGCTTAATAGAGAACTGCAACCTTTTAAATTGAAAAGGAAGATCTGTGGGAATCATAGGGATCCGTGGTATAATAACATTTTCACCTTTTCCTACGCCTGTCAAAATTGTAGCACCAATTATGTTCCGTCCAAGGGAATTTGTGGAAAGATGTAATCTGATGAACATCTTGGACGGAACATAATCGGTGCTACAATTTTGAAAGGCGTAGGAAAAGGTGAAAATGTTATTATACCACGGATCCCTATAATTCCCACAGATCTTCCTTTTTCAATTTAAAAGGTTGCAGTTCTCTATTAAGCTCAGTTTTGCAAGACAATTAATAAAGCGTAAGGGCAAACGTTACAGGAAGCGGGGGTCAACTTAGAAAAACCGTGCTTCTCTCATGGTCAGCTGTATGTAGCATGTTCGCGTGTGTCAAATGCCCAGAATCTCCACATTCTTTCCCCGAATGGAAAAACATATAACATTGTGTACAGTAGCGTCTTAAAATAGTGTTCAGTTAGTATTTTTTTTTCCAAAATTCCCATAATCAATTGATCAGAATTCCCACAGATCTTCCCTTTCAATTCAAAATTTCCTATTTAGCTCAGTTTCTTTTCAATTACAAATGATGCACCTCTGACGAACCTATTAAGCTCAGTTTCCTTTCAACTCAAAAGGCTGCATCTCTGACGGATCTTTTATTTGGCTCAGTTTCCTTCTAATTCAGAAAACTGCATCGCTGACGAATCAATGTAGCTCAGTTTCTTTACAAAAGTCTGCATCCCTGTCGGATAATTATGCTCAGTTTCCTTTAATTAAAAAAAATATCCCATTTCCATTTGGAATAAACAGGCTATTTTCATGCTTTCCTATGCGCTGCGTTTCAAAACATTGAAATAGGCTGACGAATCAATTTTGCTCAGTTTCCTTTTAATGGCTGTATCTCTGACAAATCTATAAAACTCAGTTTTCTTTCAATTCAAAAAGCAATGGATAGTTCACCGCATGGTCACATTTCCTAGTGACCATGCGGGCGAAGCCGCGTGTAACAGCTAGTGTTATTAGTAAAATCTAAATGAAATAATAAATGCACAAAATAACTTATTATAAAGTTAAATGAAAATTAGAATCTTTGGGTCGAGGGACTTAAAGAGGGTATTGAAGAGCAATTCATATAACTGTATTTGTGTACAAATAGGTACCTGTATTCAGCAAGTTGCTTAATACTAAATGGGTTTTTTGTTAAGCCAGATACGGATCCTGGATTTATACCAGTCATACTAGATAGGCAATATAAATGGTACATATATTTATGTGTAAAAAATGTAGTAATTATTTGTACTCGAAGCAAATATAAAGTTTAATAATAATAGTTTGCATAAAAAAGTGTAATGGTTGTATCTATTATGCGTAGACAGCTGTGTTGTTTGGGGGGGGGGTGTTGGAGGGAGGGGGGAGGAGTTGTAGAGTCACCTCCTACTTCCACTTCCTGCCGGACGTGCTTATTTTTTTCTTTATAAATTTTTAAAAATCTTATTTTGAGGTTATGTTTCGTAATTTTTATGACAATTTTAACCTGATTTATGAGAAGAGAGAGTTGGGGGACGGAAGCCCCACGTCACTTAACGTGGTGCAGTCGAGGGAAGTCCGGTCGACGACTCCTACTTCTGAGTGGCTTACAAGAAAATAACCACGAAGAGGATGACGGGGTCTATTCGCTCGCTTAACTCGCTCACTCGACCTCGTCATCCCCTTCTAACCTAACCTGACCGAGTCGGGGTGCCCCACGTCCCAGGCTCGCTTCGCTCGCTATTGCACTCGATATAACAACAAAATATTAACTTTTATAAGTACTTCAATTTATAAACATAATTTATGGCTGCCAAGATTTGTAAGAAAGGATCTTTGCGATATTTAGCAGTATTCCGCCGCCACAAATATTCCACTACTCACCAAAATTCTGAAACTCTGAAGCAACGGCATGACGAAGCTGTCAACAAAATGGCCGGCCTAGCGATTAATTTTACACATTTTTAAATCGATTCAAGTCGAAATTGGATTAATCGATTCACAAAAATCGAAACGCAAAAATCGATCTTTTTTGATTTGCGTTAAAAGTTTATATTTACAATATCAAAAGATACAATAAAGTACAGATAATATTGAATGATCGAATTAAAACTGTCATTCTTTACGAGTTGGGGTACATTCAACTAATTGTAAATAATTTTACAAATCTTAATAAAACAGAAAAAGATTCGATCTCGATTATCTAGGGTGAAATATCGATTCAATAGATCGATTCAGTACTATATATCGATATGACATTGACAGATGAAATGTCAAAAACGTATTTAATTAGTCATTTACCAATATTTTTAAAAAATAATTAAAATACTTCGACGCTGCTCCGGCAGCAAAAATCGAGTGGGGGTGCTTCAGATAAACCCCTTTGACCCCCCCCCCCCCCCCCACGGTGATAGAATCTTCAAATTCAGGCGACCGAACTGTAAACCCAACCCGAATATTATTTTGTCATCTAGAATCAGATATACTTCATCATCATCATCATTACAGCCCTTCACAAGTCCACTGCTGAACATAGGCCTCCCTCAAGGTATGCCACAAAGCACGGTCCTGAGCCACCTGCATCCATCGACTTCCTGCATGTCTTACCAGGTCGTCACTCCATCTAGTGGGGGGTCGCCCTACACTACGCCTACCGGTACGAGGCTGCCACTCGAGAAGTTAGACAGGAGATGAGGTTGCAATCGTCAACAGATTTGACAGCATACAGGCAACTGAACAGACTGATCTCCAAATGCATGCGGAGCGACTTGCGCAACTTCAATACTGCTCGTATTGAAGAAGCGATAGAGCGAAAACAGGGCTCCAAAGTCTTTGCCAGAGATCTGTCTGCCAGTAAGAGCCAACTGTCAAAGCTGAAGACTGAATGTGGCAGCATCGATTCCGGGACACCTGAGATGCTAAGTGAGGTTGAGAGGTACTATGGGCAGCTGTACACATCATCGTTGGAGCCACACGCAAGTGTGAGTAACGATCCAAGAGCAAGTCTTATCTGACACTATTCCGATGATATCCCGGACGTCAGTCTGAGCGAGATTAGAATGGCTCTCCAGCACTTTAAAAACGGCAAGTCCCCGGGCGAGGATGGAATTACAGCGGAGCTTCTGAAAGCGGGTGGAAAACCGGTACTTGAAGTCCTTCAGAGGCTCCTTAATTCCGTTCTCCATGGTGACACTACTCCGTAGGCGTGGAGCAGAAGTGCGATGGTCTTGTTCTTCAAGAAAGGTGACAACGCTCTCTTGAAGAACTACAGACCGATATCCCTTCTGAGCCGCGTCTATGTGCTGTTTTCGAGAGTCATTTCGAATCGTCTCGCACGCAGACTCGACGACTTCCAGCCTCCCGAACAAGCCGGTTTCCGAAAAGGCTTTAGTACCATAGACCACATACATACTCTTCGGCAAATTGTACAGAAGTCCGAAGAGTACAATCTGCCACTTTGCCTGGTGAAATTTGGGTGGTGCTACAGTCTCTTCAGCGGTGCCAAATTGACTGTCGGTAATCGAAGTGCTGAAGTGTTTGTACAGTAGGGCTACGATGGCTACCCGAGTACAGAACCAGAGTACAAAACCCATCCAACTGCAGAGAGGTGTAAGACAGGGTGACGTTATATCCCCAAAACTCTTCACCGCTGCATTGGAAGACGTTTTCAAGCTACTGGACTGGAAAGGATACGGTATTAACATCAATGGCGAGTACATCACTCACCTTCGATTTGCCGACGATATAGTCCTTATGGCAGAATCGCTGGAGGACTTAAGCACTATGCTCAATGACCTCAATAGTGCCTCCCAACGGATAGGTCTTAAGATGAACATGGACAAAACAAAGATCATATTTAATGTCCATGTCACACCTATGCCGGTAGTTGTTGGGAACACTAAGCTCGAAGTTGTTGACGAGTACGTTTAACTGGGACAAATAGTCCGACTAGGTAAGTCCAACTTCGACCGAGAGGTCAATTGACGGATTCAACTCGGGTGGGCAGCGTTTGGGAAATTACGACGCATCTTCTCGTCAGGTATCTCAAAAAGCTGAAAACTAAGTTGTACAACCAGTGCGTGTTGGCAGTGATGACCTACGGAACCGAGACGTGGTCCTTCACTACTGGCCGCATGAGGACGCTCAAAGTCGCTCAGCGAGCTATGGAGAGGGCTATGCTCGGAGTTTCTCTGCGTGATAAACTTAGAAATGAGGATATCCGCAGTAGAACCAGAGTGACCGACACAGCCCAACGGATTAGTAAGCTGAAGTGGCAATGGGCCGGCCATATAGCTCGAAGAACCGACAACCGTTGGGGAAGAAGGGTTCCCGAGTGGCATATACTTAATATAACAATAATATCTGTCTCCTATGTACATGATACCAGTGAAAATAAAATGTGAGACAACTTTTATATAGATGAATATCATTGATGTTAATCAATAATTACTGCTTCTGTATTTGATCAGCTGGAGCTGATTAATGCTGTATAATTTATAATAATTTCTTTATTATTTAACATATGAACAGGCAGATATAAGAAAATGCTCACAGAAATATGTAAATACAGTTTATTGACATTGAAGGCATAGTCTTATCTCATATCTCTTATTACTAAAATTGTCCTTTTAATTTCTATGTAATATAGAAAAAATAATATATTGATAAGAATTATTATTAAGTTAAGACACCTTTACAATTTTCATTAACTTCTTATCCGGTGGATCGCTTAGAACAAATCTGTAGGCCTTGCAGGCTGAAAGCTTGCAGAGACAAAAAGTGTATGGATATCGAAGACATCAGTCTTATATCATATCTCTTATAATTGAAAATGCTCTTCTGATTGCTTACAATATCATAAATGTACATGTTACCATCAAGTTACTTTAAAAAAAAACCTTCAGAAATATATCTAATACTAAAATGTTTCTACCTATGTCCGTTATAGACAAAACATAAGAAAACATCCAACCAATTTCAATGAAAATGTTTGTGTGTGTTGTGTGTGGATGGATCCCTAGATAGTTTATATTTACATTTGGATGGCACTGTTGTCGAGATCCATAAATCACCAGTGCTGCAGCTGAGGCGCATCGCTAGTAATAAATACATTTACATTAAGCCTGTGTTTTTATAATCCTTACACAAACAGTTTAAAACATCTTACTTTCTCACTATTGCGTAATAACATAGACAAGCATATTAATTCCCAGTCATTTTACATATTTTGATGTATACTTATTAATCAACCAAAACACATTAAAACTTAGTCTTGACACCGCTCCGGTCTATGTATGTCAGTCAATCATCAAAGTTCAAAAAATTTATTAAACTAAGTTTGTATAAAATGGGTTATTATAGTATAAAGGAGTTTATGGATGACAATAACCCGTGGGTAAGGTGATCGCTACCAAGCTATTTCTATTTTATTCTGTATTGTTAATTATGACATACATGATTTTTTTTTAATAGAATAGGGTGATAAATGAGCACACAGTCCACCTGATGGTAAGTAGTTGCTGCGGCCCATAGACATCTACATCTATCCTCCATTAAAAATCTAAATACAGATGCGTTGTCACCCGTGAGGACTGAGATGGAATGCCTCGTTTCCAGTAAAAAGCAGAAATGGGATATTTTTTTATTAAAGGAAACTGAGCATAATTATCCGTCAGGGATGCAGACTTTTGAAAACAAACTGAGCTAAATTGATTCGTCAGAGATGCAGTTTTCTGAATTGAAAGGAAACTGAGCCAAATAAAATATCCGTCAGAGATGCAGCCTTTTGAGTTGAAAGGAAACTAAACTTAAAAGGTCCGTCAGAGGTGCAGCATTTTTAATTGAAAAGAAACTGAGCTAAATAGGAAATTTTGAATTGAAAGGGAAGATCTGTGGGAATTCTGATTGATTGTTTATGGGAATTTTGGAAAAAAACTAACTGAACACTATTTTAAGACGCTACTATACACAATGTTATATGTTTTCTATTCGGGGAAAGAATGTGGAGATTCTGGGAATTTGACACACGCGAACATGCTACATACAGCTGATCATGTGAGAAGCACGGTTTTTCTAAGTTGACTCACGCTACCTGTAACGTTTGCCCTATATTAATTGTCATTGCAAAACTGAGCTTAATAGGGAACTGCAACCTTTTGAATTGAAAAGGATTTTTCACCTCTTCCTACGCCTGTCAAAATAGTAGCACCGATTATGTTCCGTCCAAGATGTGTCACACGCAGCCTTGTCCCGTTACATAGCCGAGGAGCATCTAAATTTCGCATTAGCATGACTGGGACGCCTAATTTTAATTGAAGCCTATGTGAGAGCATACCTGACAACTCTAGAGAATTTAGAAACTCTGCGAGCTACGAAGTGCTCTGTTCTGTGTCCATAACTGTGTCTACTGACAAATACTCTGTTATTTCTCCTGCTACTTCGCTTAATATATCTGAATTTATTTTGTTAACGCTCTCATTTTTTGGTGCAAGAATCGCCCTTTCACATAACCATTTGTCTTCATGCATGTTGTTCGTTAAATCTGAATAAACGCTCGCAATTAATTCGGAATGACTCTGTACTAAATTACAAAAATCTCTCGTCAATTTAACGCAGCCCTCAGCATCCGTTTCCAACCGCCCATCCCCAATTTTTAATAGTGTATCAGAATAGTTTCCAGCGTTGATATCATTTATAAAAACACACTCTCATATTCGTAGTTAAACTGAATTTTGTCACCTTGTTCCATAAAATAGACGACTTGAGGCATGCTTTAATTTCATCTGCAGGTGTGCCCTTTTGAATGACAAGTAAAGTTTGGCGAAAGTCACCAGCCAGTAAAACCACCATTCCTCCCATTACATCGGTATTGCTGCGCAAATCCTGGAGCGTTCGATTTAGTGCTTTTTTATACGACATTGTACTTTCGTCCCACACTAAAAGTTTGCATTGTCGTAGCATTATACCTCGTGCACCATTTTTGCTAACTAAAGTGCACCATTTCCAGATTCAATTTGTCCTAATACTTTGTCAAAAACTCGTTTTTGTTCGGGAAGCAAGCGGGATACAAATTCGGCTACTTGCTGCTGCAAAGCTCTTCATCACTTAGTTCATTTTCGGTTGTTCGCTGAGGGCTTATCATTCCAAAGTCACTTAATTTTTTGCCTAACATTGCCATTACTTTATCTTCAATTTTTCCAAGTGCTTTATTATAAATGTGTTCATTGTATGTCATGTTCGCGTGTGTCTGCTGTAACCTTCGCAAAATATCTTCCGCCATGTACTCTTTATATTTGTCCCACAATTCATGTGCATTAGATAGCCTGTAAGATGATATGAGAGTTGCATAAAGATCCCTAATTTTGGCTGGTGACTGGCACTGCACAGCCTTCTCCATGGTTTCATCCCAGTGATTATCGTTTTCTAAAAGATGCAGAGCTTCACATGCATCTCTATAAGTTGCGCATTCCTGATCGTTGACAGTTTTAAGGTCTTTATATCCTGTAGGACCCCGAACATGGTGCAGCAGCAATCGTAAACAGAAACATTCAAAATTAGTTACATGGACGGTATACACACGACCAAGGGCATCTGATGACTTTACACCGGGCCAATTTGCAACAGGCGCGCCTTGAATACGGCGTTTCCACTCCTTCCTAGATGTGTTCCAAGTATAATAGCGGGGGACTTCAGAATATAACAACGTTTTTGCAAAGGGGTTTACTTTTTTTACTCGTGAAGAAAATTGATCACCACTAATTACGGCTGCTATTTCGTTTATCAAAGGTACATTATAGCGCCTTTCATGCTCTCCTCGAGGGGTCCGATCTGCGTGAATGACGACTTTATAATCCTCTTCAGGTTTTCTAAAGCAGTTTTAAATGTTTTGACTAAAATGTTACGTTCATGCAAGAATCTTTGAATTTTGAACACTGTGTCTCTCTCAACTCCCTGGATAAATTGGCAACGACGGTCTACCTCAATTTCTTCGTCACCCATAAAATATACTTGTAAA